CGATTGCGTTGGGCAAGTGAAGATGGAAACTAGAAAAGTATTTCAGTTTTGAGATGCTTGTATTATTCAAAATTGTGAACACACGCATTATAGTCAACAAAACACACTTAAAGCACTTATATAACTGCGATACAGCTTTAGGTACGGTTATATGATTTTGTGTTCTTAACCATCCACATAAAATTGAACACAAGCACAATATCACATAAAACCATAGAGAGCTCTTATTAACAATTTTTAACTGCCTACTTAATTATTTTATTTAATAATTTTTGACAAATTTGGCTTATTCTGTATATTCAATCTTGCTGAATATTGCAAAACTCAATATTTCATCCTAGTTGCATATACAGCTCAGAAGCCTAACGCCAATTAGGATTCAACTCGCTGCCTGCCTACATGTCATATATCTCATTGTGATAAACTTCATTTTTGTAGACGCTCGCATCAATGGATCCTGTCTTCACAGACTTAGAATTAGACTTAGACTTAGCCTTCATCAGAATTAGAGCCACACCCTCAAGTATGGCCAGTATCAGGAAAGCGCCGCCGACCCCCACGAGAGTCCAAATGAGCGGCCACAAACTATCTTCGCTTGGCTCTACCGGGCCGATAGTAACATAGATTGTCGTCTCCGCGGTCGTCTCCGTAGAGGGCGCTTGCGTCGTGGCCGTCGCTGGCCCGTCGGGCAGGCTCTCGGTGATGTTCTGCAGCTTGTAGAGGTAGCTGTGCCAGTACTCGGAGGAGCGCGCCGCAAAGTGCTGCGCCGTCGTCGACAGCTCGTCGAGGCGCAGGTAAGCGCGGCTGGTCGAGGTCAGCAGTGTCTCCGCGTACTTGGGCCACTTCACGCCGCCGTAGCCGAGAATCCCCGGCGTCGGATCGCTGTAACGAGACGGATAGCGGCTCGTTGTTATCCTGCTGCTAGATAGGTGCTGGGCACAGTAACGTAAGACGTGGGCGTGGAAGGAGGGGGACGGGTGTGCTTATGCTGCCCTGGTAAACTACAGCCATGCAATCCAGCAGAATGAAGGTTAAAAATAGAAAGGGTTTATTGTTAAATGTCAGTCGAAATACAAAAGTGATTAGACAAGGATATGAAAAGTGATGCAGATGACCTACTGAACCTCTATCGGACCACGTTATAATCGTTTCGCAGTCAGTAGTCATATCATTCTTCACGCAGCCTACAATTGATTACTAGATTCTAATCATAAGAGATGCTGCTACTTTAAGTTTATTATTACCCCTTTTGTGCAAAGTTGGTCCACAAATCCATGCCATCATCCAGTCACTGAAATTTCGATCTCGTTCGTGTCCTTCGACGTAATCATCGGGGTGAGGCAAATGGCTGCCTCAGCATCAAGAGCAAGAATGTGTTGTTTGAACAGGGGGGGGGGGGCCGTCCAAGACACGGTACACAGTTTCCAGGGCATGCAGCAAACTGCATGTGAAGGTGGAAGTAAGGGCACAAGAGGGTAAATACTAAGGTTTATTAGATTTGCCAATATAAAATTACCACTGTGTATATATATTATATAATATATATATATAATAGGTAGACATAAGGTCGCGACTGTCCTATTTACGTGAGTTATACAGCTGCTATCGTCCAAAATTGTTCACTTTTGTGATAACATGATAACTTTGCACAATTACTTCTAACCATGTAAACAAACAATTGTAATATGGAATCCAAGCTAGTTAAGCTCTGGACTCGAGATCTGCGCATGTCCTAAAATCCTGCGGACCAGAAACGAGGCTGAGATATTAATTGGCTAAAAACAGCCTTTAGAGGTTTACAAAAATAAACTTGGAACTGATATATTATATGTGCATATTGGTATTGCTGGTCTAGAAAATGTTGAAGAATATGATCACGTGACCTTTCTTACAGTTTTACGAACTTCGCTTGGGAGTAAAACCTGCTGGTGGATGTCAAACTACGATACATGGCACTAAATTAGCACACTGAAGCGCCCAATTATCTTTTTTATCATTGTTAATGATAGAAAAAAGCTTTTCAGCTGTTCCAAATACATCCTGAAAACATCATACAATCCTGAATGGCCTAAAGTCTATACATGCTTCATCCTCACATTGCATTTTAGGCGTTTCCAGGATACGTACCTAAGTGCTTGGACCACAAATTTTATATAGCTCCTATAATTCTTCTTCCTTTCGCCTTGCTTGAGGGTTTTTTTTTTAATCGGCGTTTCTCTACGTGGCGGTCCAATAGTATATACACTTGCTGTTGAGATAGCTGGCAAAACTGTTTAAGCAATTATACGATGCTCTTAGGCGAATTGAACACAGTCAATTAAACGCTTGTCTACTTGCTACTCTCAGGCATCCCATAAGCTAGTTGGCAGTTGCCTCTACAGTTGCACACCAGTGCAGGTAAGATTTCTGGCAATTTGCAGCGTCCCTCAACAACCAGCTTTGCATCCACATCGAATGAGTTCGATAGGCAGGAGTCCTTGGCTGCGAGAGGTCGTCTGCAGTAAGGCACCCCAGACGACCACTTTCAAGCTGCCATCCTCAATGCTGAGGCACCGGTAACGTGGCTTCTTAACAGGGTCCTGGCCCATACATAACCACCTGGAAATGGAAGACGCTCTCTATGCATCTGTACTAAGGATCTTGAAGTGGAAGGAATGTTGTCGAGGATCGGCACCTTTTTGAGAAAAGATCTTCCTGGACTTCGTTGACATTTACCTGAGGCTGCTCGTGGCGGTCATATGATGAGTACCACAAATCGCTCAATGACATCCAATCTGGTATCATGCAACATCCTGGCAGTAATACAGCAGTGCTTTAAGAAGCAGGGGTGAGCTCTGGGAACACGTTCCATTACGTCCACTGCCGTCTAATTTTCTCTCCACGCAGAAATATGAAACCGTATCACACGCAATATTTAATCCACCATGCAACCATCGGTAACACACCGGCGCTTCTCCTCGACCAGGGATGTAGCTATGGTAGCGATGGACAGGTTACGGACTTGCTTGGAAGAACCATATGATATCCAACAGCTCATCATAACGGAGAACTGGAGGCAATGGAATACGGCCAGCACAACAACCATCAGTATTGTTACTTCGGATCTTATTCGTCGATGGGCCATGTGCGCTAGAATGGAGTGCATGAACTCTGCCGGGAATCAGCTTCTCGTGAGTAGCACGGCGGCAAGAGCACTCATATTGCGCTTTCTTCAGTGCCTAGGATGTAAAGGCGGAAATATGGAGTTGAAGTACCGTCAAAGTGCTAACGGCGTTTGGGTTGGGAGCAATCTGGACCACACGGCTTCCCATCTATTAATAATTGCATCCACTGCTCATCGCTGTCGTCTGAAGTCAAGAAGTAGTTCCATACACATTGGGGATAACTAATTCACAATGGTGTTCTTGCCCTATATAGAACACATGCCTAGCAAGAACGTTGTTTACGTAGATGTTTGTCTGGATGTCATGACAGGGAGGACAGCTAAGGCACACAAGACGACAGAACCGTAGATCTCGGTAATCATCTCCGGGTGGACCAATAACACCAAGATTCTGTAAGCTGAGAACTTCGCTTCGCTGTGATGGAAACAAAGACAGCCTGTTCCAACTTCTAGCCATGCAATACGAAGAGTTCAACCTCCTCCAGCAGAAGCTAGTGATCTCCAAAAATTGCCAGAATGGCTGTATCATCTGCCCCATAGCTTAACCTGTCAGATTTGTTCTGACACTCACGAAGAAGCAGAACACACGCTCTGTTTCATGCTTCGCCATTCTTCCATGCATGGGTTACCAGCTTGATTGATTACATGGCATGATACTGATGTGGTGTTACCGCAATTGCCAGTGTCAAGTGTTTTACAGAACTGGGAAATATTGATAGCATTGTCAATGGATCTAAACTACGTTAAACATCAGTGCCACCTAATGCAGCGAATTAGGCAACGATGGCATCATGGCGGTCTTCTATTCTCCAGGCCCAATATCAGGATGGATACTGTTCTGCATTCCTCATGAAATTGGAAAGAGAAGCAGCTTGGCCTGATTGGTGGCCAGTATGCCTCAATCTCAAACCAGATATTCTGCTCGGTTATCCCATGCTCCAAGCCAGGTATCCCCAAAACGACGTGGAAGCAAATAGAGAGATAATGTTGTTCTCTTAGTATGCTAGCGAACATCAGCACTTCAGCATGTACATGACAGCCAGGAAGCGGCAGTTGTTCACGTCAAAACCGTAAGAAATGGAAACACATTCCTCTAACCATTATGTGTGCCCTGGAACAGCATGTGAAAAGGGCGTTTAGAGGGCAGGGCCACATCTGGGGACAGTCAACTTATGAGAGCCATGAAGTTCCATCGGCCAGATTTACTGGGGCTGGGAGAGAGGACAGATAATTTCCCCATGACGACTTCTATGCTGACGGCACTCTCAAGAGGGCAGCCAATAGCTAGTCATGAACTGGTTAAAAAATTGGATGCAAAAGTCTATGTACAAAGAAGAGGCAAGTGTGCATAGGCAAATCTTGAGTGTACACAGTTGTGCTTCTGTTCCAGGACAGTGTAACAAGAGAATAAGCAAGCAGAATCTGGCAGCATATGGATACATCCATGGATCATTTAATTAATACATGACACACCCGATTGGATTGCTTTACACGGCACTCACCCGCGTGCCTTCTATGCGTGCACTGTGTCTTCATGAAATCTGATGGAACGACGTTTTGGCGGGCACGCAGGTGTACCTTACAAAGTGTAAACAGAAATTGATGAACTGAAGTAAGATGGCATTCTTTTTAGTTTTCATCATAATTTTTCACGTGGTTCTACCGAGTTCTTTGATCTAAAAACCATTTTATCTTGTATTTCGTTTTAATTTGAAAGATGTATGTAGGATAATTTCAATGTTTCCCAATCGGGTTCGCTTGACATAAAAATAAAAACAAGGTATATGATACCTAGATCCTGGTAACCGTGGCACGTATAGCCATTTAATGGCAAAGAAATGCGTTTGTCTGGGGCAGCCATTTTGGGATTTGATTTTTTTGGCGGGAAGATGTCTATGATAGATCGAACATGTGTTCTAATACGCCGTTCTATGGGGTGCATTGAGACCTCAAAAACACATGTATGAGACAAGATCATGGTACTTGGGCACTTACCCGAGCTGATTTATGGGCAAAACTGGGTTTGTGGCGGCAATTTTGAAATTTGCCAACATTTCTTGGCCGGAAGAATATATCTTATGATATTTGAACATGCGTTTGAATTGCAATTACTTGACTTCAAAAACATAGTATAAGGGCACCAAGCATCATTGTAAATCGAAGGCACGTGTACAGCTGATTTATGGGCCAAAAACAGTTTTCGGCAGCCTTTTACATTTTGATTCTATTTGGCCGCCGGAAACCGTTGGAGTGACATCGTGTTTTTCCCGCAATTTTTGAACCATCCCGGCATCATACATCACAAACCCTCACGCGGCAAACCTTTCCACTGCTTCCTCTTCCACGACACGCCTGCCCACACCCCACCCATCCAGAAGAGCACGATACCGCCCGCCTAATGTAATCTATGTTTTGACATTCCCACCAGGTGCAGTCCTCATAGCAGAGAATCGTAAAACTGTAAGAAAGGTCACGTGCATCATATCTTCAACATTTTCCTAGCACAGAATACCACCATAATCGCAGACTATAATAATCAGTTTCCAGTTTTATTTTTTGTACTCTAAGGCCTGTTTATTAAGCAATTAAATTTTCGAGCTCGGTTTCCATGTCGCGATTTTAGGACGCATGGCGCAGATCTCAGAGTCCCAGAGCTACCTACTGGATCCATATCAACAAATTGTGTTCAGGTTAGAAGAATTGTGCAAAGTTTCATGCTTTATCACAAAAGTGGAACATCAGCTATTTTTTTGGACGATAGCAGCTGTACAAGAATGTTATTTTTTAGATCTAATGATACAGACATATTGCGGTGACGCTGAGGCAGGACACA